AGAAGAAAAGAAAAGAAAAGAAAAGAGAAAAGAAAAGAAAAGAAAAGAAAAGAAAAGAAAAGAAAAGAAAAGAAAAGAAGAAAAGAGAAAAGAATGTGTTTTTAAGATTAAGGTGAATCTGGAGGGGGCAATCTACTTTTAATATAGCAATCTATTGCAAAATACATCTAGTACGCACTGTGCTGAAAATAAAATTAATAAACATGTAACAGTCTATCCTTCCAAACTTATCATCTGATCACTGCTTCTGCCAAATATATGACAAATCTTGTCAGGCTTCCTTCACATCTCGCCTACTAGCATGTTTTTGCAAAGGAAGCACTTGAAAACTCTACTCTATCCTTTTTTTTGGATACATCTTGTATGACTTGTTAAGGTTGTATATCCAATCAGGTGGGTTCTCTGCTGGAAAGAAACAAGGATACCTCTAAAGTGGCACTCACCCAGAGAGATGTCCCTAAAGTCAGTAGGTTGAATCTTTTGTTGCAGGCCCCCATCTGTTTCCACTGTGTGCACAGTGACTATGCATAGCAAGATCACACTAGATAGTCAGAGAGAGAGGGTGAAGAAACAGGTGGACACAGAGAATTCCTGATGGACTAAAAGAATAAGCTTCTCAGTATACTCAGAGACAACATGGACAATGCCAGTGAGAGGACTCTCCCTCCCTTGTCTGAGATCCCTGTAATTCACACTGTCTGCAGAGTCTTTCATACCAGCTGCCCACCCTTGCCCAAAACCCCTGCTTCTCTCACTGATTTGATGGAGTCCAGACGGTTTCTATTGGCCATGATCTCTGCTTGGAAAGTCTGATGCCTCTGCAGTTTGGTCTGCAGATTGCTTGGATCCTTCCAGCTATCATCCTGGGCAATGCTATTCTTCTCATTAATCCAGGCAGCCACCTGTGGGGAGGGAAAAACAGAAGACAAAACCTTCAGTGTTTGTTCAGTTTCTTCAGCTCCAGCCTGACAGGCTCTGCTCTTACATGTACAAAACAGGGAACTGATAAGTGTGGACTGAAATGAGCTGTCTTTCAGAGGTTCTGCTTCCCCAGAGGTTCTCTTGCCCTTCATGAAGCCACCCCTAGATGTTTGTTGCCTGGAAATGGAGCTGTCTCCATCAGATAGCCCCCACACTCCCCATTTCTCCCTAAGGTGAGAAAATGCATGGGCACATGTGTGCATAGGGGAGCATAGACAATGATCTCCCTATTTCTAACCCATTATCAGTATTTCTCAATAAAATAAGTAATTTTTTTCTTATTTTTTAATTTTTTTTTTAATGGTGGCACATTCCCTTTTAATGTATTTATTTTTCCTGCATTTGCTGTTGCCCAATGTACGGTAGATCTTTCATTTACTAAACTAGACTAGAGGGAAGAAGAAAAAAAATATCCCTTCATTCTTATCCTCATATTTCCCAATATTATCTCATTTGAGGCTCAGTGCCTTGATTTTTCTCACAGTAAATCTGTCTGGGGATTCAGATCTATGCAGCACAGCATGCTTTAAGAAACCAGACTATTATGAATCCTGTGTAATTGTACCTCAAAAGAATTCTTCAGGAACTTCTGCAGAAGCCTTGATTCCTCTAGCAAATGTCTGCGAGCAGCAGCATTCTCCAGTAGTCTCTGTTTTCTGAGATGAAGACAGATGTGTGAGGTAAAAGTCACAGAGTGAATTAGATAAATCTCACCTCTAACACTCATGATCTAATCCTCCATTCCCTAGGAGGGAACTGTCCATAATATGCAGATCCTTGATCTGGGTTGTCAGAGAAGGTGCCCAGGACACTACAGGAAAGATTGTTAGCCAATAGATATGTTTAAACTATCCACAAAATCTGTATATATGGTATCTGCCTGTAGAAATCACCATTACTGCGCAAGAGAACATAAACTCAGCACGTTTCTTATGTGGAAATCCTGCAAGTGTGATGGCATTTGTCATGGATGAACCAAAGCTGTACCATCCTTTAATTTTTTTTTCCAATTCTGGACCTGCAGGACTTTATTTGTGTTAATGCAGATGCGAGATGTTATTAAATCATATCAAATTAGACCATATTAATAAATCTGTTCACTTGAATCTATGTTCACTTGAATCATAAGAGATCTCCAGTCTCTTTTTATAACTTTTATGTAGCTCTTTTCATCTACCAAAGCAGTGAATACAACTTCTTTTATTTCAGTGCCTGTTTAAGATGATCAATATGCAAATTGCTACTAGGAATAAAGTAATTCACATGAAAGGGCAAGATCTGGTCAGAAAATTTGCAAATTCCCTAATGGATAATTTGAGTGGGGCTTAAAGATCAACCCCATTAGAGCAGAGAAGAGCAGTTGTCTAGCAAATTACCTTTCTTGATGGCATTTAATGATAATGAAGTATTTAATGACATGGCAGACCTTCTGTTGGCAGCACTGTCCCTAAGGCCAGGCCAGAATACAGAATTACAGAGAAACTGCCTTATTCTGAACCCTGCTCACCCTCCACTTAATTGCATTTTGGAAGCCTCCTGATGAAGTACGGCCAATTTGGGCGCAAAGCAGGAAGCTGAGCAAATGCAGACCAGCTTATAGTTCTCTTAAATAATTTAAAGATAATGATCACATGAGGAGGATCTCATTGCAGAAGAGATTGGTGGCTGACATGGGAAGGATTTGACTTCACCTCCTCAGAACAGCCTGGCATCTGTTGCTGATATTTTCTGAGTCATAATGCTTGTTCTGCGTTAGCTGCAGAGCAAATGAAGCCATCTCATCGATTTTCTCCATCTGAGCTTCCAGGGCCTTTTCAAACTGTGTGTGTTTCCGCTGCAGGCTCTCCACACTAGACACTGAGTCCTGGATAGAATTCAACAAAAGGAAGCTGCTTTCAGTCAGAGTTTTTCCATCCAAAACACGGATAATCCAGAAGGTAAATGGCATTTACCCCACATCTGCAAACTAGCTGTCAGGAAAATTTATTTTTCTTTGGAATTCATTGGCATTGGTCTGACACTTGGGACCTAAATAATGTTCCATGGAAGGTCTGAGACCATTATTTCAGTGCTTAGCTTCTAGTGCATATTGTTGTGCTGCACAGAACACAAAATGTCTCAAGAATTAAAACATCAGTCCCTAATTTAAAATCACTCGTAAAACAGACGCCATGCTGAAAGCAAATGTGAGATGCCAAACTGAAATCAGAGTTAAGTGAACAAATATGTCACAGAAAGAGGTTAAAATTAGAGTCTCAGTTTCAACTTCCAACAATTTGGAAGAGTTCAGATCCAGATTTGAATTTGAGGACTGGAGTCTGACATTACAGTTAATCTGGAGAGAAACACTTCTTGTAATGTTTGTGAATCCCAAGCTTAATGACTCAGAGTTCTCTTTTCAGCACCCCTCTGCACTTTAATTATAGAACCAGTGGTGTCAAAATGTTGTTAACGCAGTAAACTCTGCTTCTCCCCTATTCTAAAAGAAGCAATAAGCTCACATCAAGCGGGTCAGAAAAAAACCTGAACTTCTGGGTGTTTACATGAGTCATTGGATGGGAAATTACTCACAGAGCATTTTCTGCACATCGCTGAGCTAAATGTGCAGAAATTAGAAGTCCTTCTAAGTCCCATATACTGTAATGAAGGGACTGCAAATGCACTGAATTCTGAGATGTTTTTCTAGCCCCTGCAGAGGCAACTAATTGAGTAGCACCACTTATACGAGGTGTAGGGTGAGCTAAGTGTCAGAATGTATATCCAGCATCCTGAACAGCTTTTGCAGCCCATGCATCACTCTGCAGTTTCAGCTACTGCAGCGTTACTGATACCTGTGGTAGGTAATTTAAAGCTACACTGGGAATGCCAGCAGGGACAGTCATGGCTTGCATATTGCTGGCAAATGTATTTGGGTCAGATAAGCCAGGCTGAACGAGGCATTGAGCAACCTGGGCTGGTGGGAGGTGTCCCCACCCATGGCAGGAGGGTTGGAAATGGATGGTCTCTCAGGTCCCTTCTAACCCAAACCATGCTGGAGATGGTTTCTATGGTTTTCATACGTCTCTATGCAGTCTCCTTTTCCTGCTATAATGTGAGCAGTTGGATTGTTTCATAACTCTCAGTGCTGAGATTCCCATCCTGTGTAAAATACCAAGGAAAGAGATCTGATCCTAAACCACCAACAGGGCAGAGCAAACAGTAACTTCAGAAGGAGAAAGAGCATAGGAAGATTCAGGGCACATCATTGTGCAGTCCCCTCTCCTCCAGACTGATTGCAGAGAAAATTGTAACTTCTCAGAGCACATACCCCTAAGTCCTCATTAGCTAGGAAGGCCTCCTTGCTGCTGAGCCAGCTCTCAATCTGTTCCACGTAGCCATAGAATTTCTGTATAGGAGCAAAACCCAACAGTCACAAACATGACAATATGCTGAAATGCTGAAAAGCTGTAAAGCAGAAGCTAACCTGACTGCAGCCGAGTACACCAAAAACTTTCAACCTTTTCAGAAAAAAAACAAACTTTCATGGTTATTTCAAAAATTAACATAATAAATGAAAAAGCATTCAAACTGCCCATACCATAAGATTTAAGTTCTCATATATGTGATGATTTTAGATGGGATCAGTAGCCCAGCACTTATTTAAAGTACTTGACATTCTTCATTGTAGAATCTCTGTTTGAGCAGAAATTTTTAAAGTGAGATGACTGTTACAGGGAAGTATTTCTGGAAAACTGCAGCCAAAATAGTTCTTTTATTAGGGGGAAAAAAAAAGCCAGGAAAAAATACATTATTCCCTCCATGCTAAATTTTTCTTCAGTTTTTAAAAAATACTGGTCTGGCTCCATGTCTTTTTGGGAAGGTTATAGAATTTGGAAGAGCAGTGATGTTGTGTTTTAAGTATGTGTCTTTTTCCAGATGTATGAGAGTTTCACCAAATTTTGCTAAGTTTTACAGTCTTTGAAAAACATATTAACATATATTCCACAGGAATTTCTATGATTTGCAGAGGTAAAATTTCTCAAAGTGTTGTCACCACTGAATGTGCTTGGCCCTCAGTATGCCTTCCAGAAACCAGTGAAATATAGATTAAACACGGGGTATTATTAGCACATCTTTCTTCCTACCATCTCATAAATTTGCTGTTTATATCAAGAAAAACTGTCAGTGGCATGTGCATTCTCTCTTGAATGTCATTTTACTCACCTGCAAATCTTGTGCCTGAAACAATTTTATATATTGTTCTTTCCATGCTTGGATCAGTTCAGACCAGGCTTGCTGTAGTCTGGAGAGGCACTGGTGAATCTCAGGGGTTGCATAGTGACCAGAATTGGCAAGTTCCTTACCATAGTCACTGAGAGCATTGAATCTTTCCACTCGGGCTTCAATCTCCTCCTAAAATACATTGCTAAGGTTGATGTCAAGGATTTATGAAAAGCCATTATTCAGAATACAAGCCTTAAGGGGAAGAGTTTGGTCTGTAACTTTCCAGCACTAATATTTGTATGGAAAATCATTCATCTTTGAGCTATGTTACTGGAAGGGCACAGAATTGCCTAAGGGAGAATAAATGTAAATAGTAAATTACTTTACTGGTCTAGGAACAACTGTTTTCCTACAAATGAAAATTGAGATTTAGTTAGAAACAGATTAGAAAATGTTGAGATATAAATGAATACCATTTCAAACATTCATAATATTATCCCCCGGTCTTCCAACATGAAAGTGGTTCTTTTAAGAAAGAGGGCCCAGAATTTTTCCTCTCCCAAATGGAGACAGATAAGTTGTCATCAGATTTTTACTTTAAATACATGGTTTTACTTCATTTTGCGTTGTTAAAATGAAACACATTTAACTTTTGCACCTGGTCTGAGGAATGAATTACATTCATCCTGAAGGTGAAAGCATAAAAAGCAATTATGACCCCTGCAAACTGAATGTGGAATTTCTAATGACAGCAATTTGAAAATGGAAATAACTATGGACTGTAACAATACCATGTATTAACTCATTAACCACCTTAAACACTATGGCATGTACTATTAAATTTCTGAAATTAGAACTGCTGCTTTTAGAGATTTTTGTGGTAGTGGTGTTTCCCAATCACAGATAACACAGCTATAAAATCGTAATTCAAATATTTTTAAAAGTCACGTTAGCATCTTGTGTTCAACTCTAGTCTCTTCTAAGGACTTTGGTTTGAGCCACTGACCAGAATTAAGAGAACCTTCCTTCTTGCCTTGACTATAATTTTGGTTTAGTCAACATAAGAACATGATGGCAAATCTCCCCCTTTTCTCTGTGACTGTCTCTTTAGAACCATTTGGGTTCCTTGACTATCAGATATTAAAGATCTTGACACCATTTAAATTTGGAGCACACTACATCAGTGGTTTGTGATATTTCTAATATCACAAATAATTTTTAGCAAAAGCAATGTTAAGTGATACGAGAAAGCATTGTTAAAATGGATGACTCTAAAGACTTCACACTAAATTCAGGATTGGAAAATTAATCAGAATCTACAAATTCTTTATCCTAATAAAGGGACCCACAAAGCACTGGGTATTAGTAATTATTCTTTGAACAGGATTTTTAGAAAAAGTAAAATAATTGCAAAGATAATGTAGCACAACAGCTGAAAGATACCTATGATTCTTGGGAAAAAGTAAAATATTGATTTTTTTTACCCCTAATGTTAATAAAAATATCACTCCTTTTAGAAAAAAAACCCCAAAATATTAACCAAATTAGCCACCAAAACATTAGAAAGATAACGATTAACTGGCATATGAAGCGTTTCAGAACTGAATGTATAGCACCATTCAGTTAATTTACTTCGCTGTGTGAAACAAACTGCTGTTTTTATTTTCTTCTCAGGTAAATTAAGTTCACATGAAAAAATCTAGCTCAAAGCAAGGATTAGCTGGCATTAACTTCTTTGGCAATATGAATAAGGAGATGAGCAGTGAGCATGATGTGAGACTGAAACTGTTTTTCCCTGTCAGGTTTGGACAGCAGTACAGGTGAGAGCTCACGGGGCTTCTGAGCCTTTTTGCAAAGACACAAGCCATCCAACAGCCCATGAGACAGTTTTGTCAGTATGTAGGTGATTTCTATCCCCAGCCTGGTACTGAAAACAGTTTTTTACCATGTTATTGACAGAAGCATGCAGTGAACACAGAAAGATTCCCAGGATGTGCAATTGGAACCACAGAAGATACTTGCCTTTCTCTCCTGATGCTCCTCAATCATACTTTCAGCTTCATTTGCGCTTTTAGGCAGCCCCCCTGCTTCCATTAAAGCTCTGGTGTTTTGGGCCCAGTCTAGTATCTCCTTCATCTCCAAGTTAAATTTCTGCAACTGGTACGAGGCTGCCAGCTTCTCCTTCCTGCCACACAAGGTGCAGTTCAGCATTATGTGACATGGAATTATCTAGTTGCTTTTCCCTCCCCATTTGCAGAGGAAAATATCTTAACAGAAGCCAAATGAAATTAATTCAAGCTTTTCCTTACATTTCCTAAGAGTCCTCATGTTAACCAAAAACACAGGAGATGCATACTGCCTTGAAGACAACATACTTACTCATTTTTCTACATCAGTTCATTAGCACAAGAAAGGACAAAAAGCCTTCATATGTATTGCTTACACCAGTGATTACAGATCACGATTAAGCCTTTCTTGTTTTAGAAAGATTTGAGGGAAAAAAAATCTTCAAGAACCATCCAAAAAAGACGCCTTTCACAAAGGCTTTATGACAGATTTAATTTGATAGTCTGAAGGCATTTTAGTAACATTATTTAATGGGATAAACCACAAAAACATTGTATTAATTTTCCCTAAGTCCCATTAGTGGAGCTTTTTGTGTATCAAGTCACACTTTTTCCAATGCAGGTGTCTTAGCTGCCTGTGTAAACTTCGTAAAAAATCCTTAAAAACCTTTAAAAGACCTCTGGCAAGTAGGGTTTAGACCCCAGGGAGCAGCTTTGCTCCTGCTAAGAGATATTCAAACAACTCTAAGTCTTCACCTTTGTTTGGCCTGTCCCTGGAGTCGTAGCCAGTTGTTTTTCATCTCCTGTTGCTTCATAGTCAGTTTGTCATTTATGGACGGATTTCTTGTGGAAAGGCGGAAAGATTCCACTTCCAGTGGCTGGGAAGAGATTTATAGTGAGGTAAATTTATGCCAAATACTTATATTCATTCCTGAGTTTGCCTTTCAGGAAAAATAGTTCTTTTTAAGATCCTAGGTCTCAAAGGCAGGTAATTAAATTACAATAGCAAAATATACAAAGGGATGTGTAATACGCAAGAAGTAATACACAAGCATTTGTGAGCAAACATCCATGTGAAGAAAGATCTTTGTGCATTACTTTGAATGCAAAAAAACTTAATTTACAGTTTAGAAAAGAGTTTGCAGAATATGGGCAAACAGGAAAATGAACTGCTAATTCTAACTACGGAAACTACGTGCAGTATGGGGTTTGCATTTAAATTCTGAACAGAAATAGAGTTGTGATTTTGGTTCAACTAAATCCAGGATCTGGGGGAAAGATGAAGTCCATGCTTTCTAAAATGTATGTGACAGTCTGATCTGGCTTGCAGGTGAGGGCCAGAGACTTAGAGAACATTAAAAAGGGACTTTTCTTCTTAGATTTTGTGCATCAGGAAGAATAATATTTGATAAGATAAAGTAGGATCAAGCAGCCTGGTATTTTCATGAGAAGAAATTTATTCTGCACTTGTATTGCTGAAAATTCCTGCTACTCAATCTGAAGAATAACAATGATTTTTCCACCATCTTTTCAAGAAGAAAAAGTGAATTTTTTCTAGTATATTTTGTACTTCCCTACTTCTTACCTCCATTTTGGACTTAATAACACTGATTTCTCTCTCCATTTCTTCATGTCTTCGGATCAGGTTTTCCACACTTTCCACATCTTTTCCATAATCCAATGCTTGTATCAATACACTCTGGAGAGGGCATTGAGATATGCAAATGGTGAAGATTACACCAAACAAAAGGATTCGTATCTTAATTATTTCAAAGAGCTTCCTCCTCCTCCTTCACCTCTTTGCATTGCCATCTGAATGTTCTTATTGTCTTTTTAAATATCAATACAGCACGGTTGTCTGCTCTCCTTACAGAGATGAAACAAGAATCCACACCTCTTTGAGCAGTCATGATCCTGCTTAAGGTGCCTCTGGCCATTCACATGTAAAACAAAGACAGTTGTGCCTCCCTCCATTTCTCAATCTTTCTTTCCTTTTTTTTTTTTTTTTTTTTTGTCATATGCCAAACCAGAAAAATATTTCACAATAAATTGTGGCACAGAAATTCAGGCGTGTGTTATGAAAATACAAAAAAAATAAAATTTACCTTTGGGATTCCAAGAAATTAAATACCATAAAATGAAGAAATAGACTTTTAAAGTAGTTTTAAAAATTCAAGCCAAAAGTCTTGTAACCTTAAGTAGTACTACTTACCTATTGACTTATAATTAAATTAACGTAATTACTTACATTGATGAAATAATTAGCTTTTATATAGTCTTTTTTTCATCTTTTTTAATATCACAATTATAATTCAGGATCGGCATTTTTACCTCTGTTTCCTGAAAGAATAAGACTGATAGAGCATTTTTCCATTTCAATTAATTAAAATTGGAAAACTTACCTTCTCAGTAATTCTTTCTGTGATGTCATCTATTTCTCTGATTAAGGCATGAATCTCTAGGGCTCCCTCTAACTTCTTCCTGTATGCATTCAGGTTACCATGAAAACTGTTCCACCTTTAGTTGGAAATAATGTTTCAAAGATGTATATCAGGGGTAAGGATATCCACAAATGGGTTTCATGATACTCATATTTAAATAAAACCACAGGTTTTCTGAACTACCTCATGCATTGATCCCCAAATTCTCTATAGCAGGGGGCTTATCACAGGGATAAACCATTACCCTGAGAAGGTTATCTGGTTGAATTTATTCCACGACTTCAGGATGGCATGGGGTTAAAAGCTAAAAAGTACTGATCCAGTTTTCTTAAGCTCTCAATGATCTCACAATCGGTATCTTCATGCTTTTGTTTCTTAGATAGGGGGTTGTGGAGCAGCAAAAGCACAGGGCAATTCACCAGGACAACTGTGTGAATAAATGGAAGAGTCTAAGCTTCATGGCTCTCATGTGCCAAATGGTGTGAAACAGAGTATTTGACTCCAAGGCTAGAAACATGACTTTGGCACTTCTGGATTAAGAATCCTTCTAAGCTACCTGCTCTGGCAGTCTGGAAAGACAACTCCAGTGTCTGATATTTGGTAGTTGTGATATTAAAGAAGAAAACAAATGTTCCAATTCCTTCATTTATCTCAGCCGAAGACACCTAATTTTCCCTTCCTGTTTTTTCTTTACACAGGACATCTGAAAGCACACTCACTTCTCATTGAGCTGCTTTCTGCGCTCATAGATTGTTTTTGTTTCCTCCTTGTTCTGTCTCTCCAGTTTCATGGCCAGGGCATTGATTGTCCTGATGTGGGCATCATCTACTGTTGATTCCTGTAAAGTGATAAAGGGAACAAAGGTACATGTTCAAATTGCTTGTGACTGAGTTTTCCACCGAGGTGACAGTCAAGCAGCAGCAAGAAAAGGTTTTACCGCACTAACGTTTCAGACACATGGTGTTTGCTCTACTACAAGTGCTGGTGTTACCATGTGCCTGATGAGAAGACAGTAAAGGCAAGAAAGAACATTAATGGCTGTAGATGCAGCAATGATCTTGGTCTAGGTGAGATCCCTCAGACCCTCATTTCTAAGCCAGATATTCCAGCAGGGGTTTGTTTGGTGAAGAAACACAGATGCAGTTGCTGGTTGCTGATACGAGGCAGATTGTTCCTCTGTCAGACAGGTGGTGACTCGTGGGCTCCTGGGCCCACTGGCTGTTTTATCTAGGTGAGATTCTGTCCTAGAGTGCCTTCTGTACTGTAGACAACAGGCTCAAAATCCACACAGCCTTGAGAATCCCAGACAACCTATGCCACTCTGTTTTCTTCTAAGTCTAAGTCTTCTAGGAGACTTTCTTCCCATGCACATACCACAGAATGGATAATATTTGCACATTGCCCATATAATCTGGAGTACAGTAGGATAATTTTTTTCTTTTGGAGCACTACAGATGGCCAACGCTGCTCCAAGATTCAAACACATTCTTTATTTTTCTGGGACAAATGAATCACAGGTTTAGCAGGGAGACAATCACTGGTGTAAAGAAGCACAGCTGCAAGATGTCAATGTAAGTATTCACTCCGTTGTGTGTTTTGTTTATGCTGCATCCATACCAATATGCGTGCTTCCATATGTGCTTTCCTATTATACACAGCCATAAAGTAAAAGAGAGAAACCAGCAGACAGTCAGATATTCTTCAGAAACCCTGCAGCCTCCTCTCCTGGGAAATAATAGCAGCACAATGGATAGGAAGTCTGGCAGCCATCAATGGAGCATGATTACTCCCTACCGTGATCTCAGATTTTTCTAGTGGGAAAACCCAGACTGGATGGATGCACACACTGTGCCGGAAGCAGCCTCCTTCTGTTTGTATCATCCTAGGAAGCACTACACAGCTGAGCACAAACTATCTGGGCATAACTGCATAACTGTTCCATCTTTTTATCTGCAGGAGTCATGTTCAGAGTGTTACAGGAGCAGTGGCTACAAGCTGATAGCCAAGATAAGGCCAAGAGTTGCAAGAGTGGCACCTAAGATCTACCTTAGTTTATGAAATAACTTTCCTATTCAGAGGCTTATGCTGACTGGAACACTGGGTTGTTTCTGCCCTATTAATCATCCTTCTTTTGGCTGGCACAAGCTGTAGAAGAGCTCTTGCCCAATCCCTTATCTCACAGTCAGCTGGTGAGTACAATGAATGTCTCTTCAATTTACTAATTCCCTGGTGCTGAAGCCAAGTAATTCAGCTCTCTATCCAAATCCAGTGTGAATGCACTGTCACAAAATTCTGCTGGGCTCTGGGATAGGGAGCTCATGGGTTTCTCCCTGGTGTCAGGCATATCTACACTGCTACTTTGCAGAAGAGGACTGTCTTCTGCTACTAGGCAACAAAAGTAGATGATGCGAGCTGCCATAACAAGAATCAACAAAAAGATAACAGGCAAACAAAGGATGAAGAATATTAGGAGATTACTTTGGAATAAACATCACTCACAAATTCCTAACACATCTCTTCCTAGACCTTTCCAGCAATTTCCAGACTAGCAAATCAGCACAGTAATCTTTCCTGTGTGACACACAGACCTCTTAGTCCTCATCTGTAGCAGTTCACACAAACAGAGAGAACAAGAGGTTGCTGCAATTGCATTCCCTCAATATATGGCCTCACAGTTCTCACGGTGGGAGCTGAACACATGACAAGGAGGCCCCTGCTCCCAGGTTTGGTGCCTAAGTCGGCACATCTCACTGGGGGCAGGAGAGGCAGCTGGTGTGACTCAGCACCACAAAAGAAGGACAGAGATCTCAGCATTGAAAGGTGAAGAGTGCAGCTGTCTTGTCACATGACTGTTATCCAAAGCGTAAACCATTGCTCTGTTTTACTAAATGTCTGGTTGTTAACGTTATGATTCATGAGTAACCACATGTGTGTATATAAACAGAGGCCCCCAGATTTATGTGCTTAATTTGGATGAAGGAATATGAGAATGAAACCATTCCTCAGGAGAAGGAAAATGGAGAAATAGAGGATAGAAATAGAGAACAGTATTTTTTTTTTACAGGCTTGTTCATGGAAGGTCCAGATCAGTTCTCAGAGTCAAACAAGCATGGCTGAAACGCACATTTTTAAACCCCATCTGGGTGGAAATCACTGTGACTTTGCAGATGGCATGAACCAAACAAAATCTGCTCAAATTCAGGCTCACACAGTGAGTCATTTAATGTAGTCTGAAATGTTAGGCTGTGTCATGAGTGGCTGACAGTCCTGCCTAGACATCTTCAAAGCAGAAGGCATAATAGGAGAAAATTCTGTCTTTTAAAATGACTTTTGAGGTAGTGATGTTCCTATCACTTTGGTCTTACACCTCCTCAGGGCACTGGAACTTTATTTATTAACTGGACTGAAAAGTTGCCTGCTGCTTGCAGCCATGCACGACATGAGCACAGAAAACACCTCTTACCCCTGATGTTGCTCCACGGAACTCATTCAGCTTTTTCTTGAGCTGCAGGCAGTGTTCATAGTCATTTCCCACATCACCTACATTAATCATGACCTCCTAGGGAAATAAGCATCAAACAGACAAATATTTAGGTGAAGAGTACAAGACCACAGCAACTCCCAATGCTTATCCTGATGCAGTAACTTCTGTTATGTGTCTATAAATCACCAACCTACAGCTTCTGAAATAATTTCTTCTGATCTTTAGATAATTATGAGACTTGGTCCCAACTCCCTTTTCAATCTACTACTGGCTACGGAAGCAGCCTCTGAATGAAAGTCATTCTTCCTTCACCCCTGCAAAGAGAAACTTCCAGATTTGATATACAATGAGAGTGAAGGTCAGCTGCCAAATGCTTCAAGTGTCTTCCATTCTTATCTGCTTTCATTTCTCTGTCTCAGTAGAGACACATGAGAGGACCACAAATAATCACAAACTCTTCATGTGCACAGTTCACATGAGAAGATCATGCTAATACTGCCCAGTTGACTTCGGTATGGACAGACTCCATAGAATTTTTTCAATCATTCCTTTCATATTGTTTGTAGAACATGTCATGATTCTTCCAGACAAAAACCACTAGGCAAATATCCTGGAGGATGACACAGAATGTCATGGCTAAATGTCAAGTCTTTAGTGCGCTGCTTGGGTTAAATACTAAAATTCACTTGCCTTCTCCCTGATCCAGGCTTCCACCTGGTCCACCTTCTGGAGAAATTCTAGGAAGTCCCGACTGTCCTCCAGCATCTTTCCACGAGCAGCAACAGCTCTCTTCAACTTCTCCCAGTGTTCCTGAAGCGTGCGGACTTGGCGACGGATCTCTCCTGATTTTGGGTGGCCTTTCGACACCAGGGCCTCTCCTTTCTTCACATTCAGAAGAAGAAATTAGAAGTTAAAGTTGCCTCATTTTTAATGGGATTGCTATGTTTCATGACTTTCCTAGGAGGATTCTTTCACCTTCCTAACCTGGATTGAGCAACAGATTACTTATATAAATTCTTATCACACAAATGATAAAGCCAGCTGGAAAGCTTTTACATGTGGAGGGAATCGAGAATCATGGAACACTGGGATTTGAATATTTCCCTGCCAAGGAAGATATTCATGGAATGGGAACACCAAGGGAGGTATTACAGATGACTGTGCCCTTTAGCTATATGATTCACCCAGTTCCAACAAGAATATTGACAAATTTGGCATGAAATCCTATTTGCCTTTTGTAGGATTAATCACGTTAGACAAAGAAGAACTCAGTGTGTATTTTCCTATTTAGGCTATAAGGAAAGACGGAAGCTCCCTGGGTGGAGCAAATTAAGTATCTCCTTGCTGTAAATTAACAGCATTACATTTCCATGGCAAAGCAACTGGGTTCTTGTCACACCAGTGGGATAATTGATGCAGAAGTGATGACCAAGCTACTCTTCTTTCATCAATCTGTCCATCTTTGGATGAGCAGTAATAATCTTTAAAAACGCTAACAGAGTGAGAGGGTCACCTTATTAACAGCTGTGATGATTTCTTCATTTGCTAGAATCTCTGCCTCAAAGACCTGATGTTTCTGCAGCAGCTTCATCTTGTCCTGCAGATTGCTGGGGTCTTGTGTGGAAGGGTCCTCCAGCTTCTGCATGCGCTCACTGATCCAATCTTCTGCCTGCAATGTTGAGAGGCACCCAGATTAGCACAACAGCCACCTGGGATCCTGGGGCCTCCTCCCAGGATATGTCACCATCCTGTGCAAGTGTCTGTACCTGGACTGGACAGATTGAGTGGGAGCTGACAGCTGAGGTGGGTGGATCTCCAGTTTCTGAACTTACTCTACTTTGTTAAAAGCAGGTCAGAATGAAACTAATTTTTATCTGAGCACAGGAGTAATGAAAAATTCCTTGAATACCTCAGATTTTATCACAAGGCAGATTATACAGTCTTCTAGATTATGTAGAGAGCATCACATTTAAAGTGAGATTATGATCACTGAGTCTGGGGGTTTAGGGCTCTGAGTTTCATCTGGTATCTCTGCCATTGACCTACCTGCAAAATGGACAAAGATTCTTTAGAATTCAGTGCCTCACCTATAAAACAGCACTAACATTTCCTCATGTCAGTGGTGTTGGGAGACCTAAATGGAAAATGCAATGCAAATGTAAAGATTTGCTGACAGGGCCCAAGCACTAGTCAGATTATTTGGAAGGAAATGCAACTATATTTGCTTTTATACTTCATAAAATTCGAAGTTATCTGGTCAGAAATATCAGATTCAGAAAAGCAGGTGATTTGTGAGAGCTAACAAAGCAAAAGTTATGTGTTTCTCTTAGGAAATTATTTTTAAGGGGATTTTAAAACATGCAGAATAAAATGAAGAATAGGAAACCAAGTTTCCCACAGTTTTCTTTACGTTCTGCTGAACTTTAGCCCTTAGCACTGAAGGAAATATTTTCTATCCATCAAAACACTGAGAACTGAACGCTTGACATAATGTTGTAACTGATCATGTTGTCCTCAGAGCACTGAAGTAATGTAATGCTTTGACAACACAAAAGTTGCTAATTGAAGGGCAGCTTTATTAATTTCAAAATATCCTGGCTGTCCTTGCAGATCTGTGTGCTACGTGCACACAAGACTTGTCAGCTGGAGGATTTTGTCTGTTAATTAATGATTTGAAATATTTTTTCAGCTGCTGAGATTCTACAAACAATAACAGAAACAACTTTCGCTAGCAGCCTGCTCTCCAGAAACTGTTTCCCTCCAAAGCACAGTTAGAGACCCAAACAGTCCATGTCAAACTTAGCAAGGGCTACACATTGTCATGTGCTGCTTTCATTTCCAACACCCTCCTCGATGGCCTTCTCCCTTTCCCAGCCACACATTCGTGCTTCAGTGTCACTCAAGTGACTCTTCATTTGAATGGGAGGCTCATCCATATGGTTGGAATGAGAAACAAACCAATCCCCAGGATAAAGCGACTTCAAGGTCGATTTCTCTCCTACTTTTTAATTAGAAGCAGTGGCTTTAATGATAGACCGAACATCTGAATTCTTAGTGCCTTGGTTTATTTTAAGGCTTGTTTAAGATGGCTCTAGAGAGTGAGGGATCCTTCTCCTGGCCTTGTGCCAGCTTTCAGATGTGAAGCAAAGCTGATCTGTTTTCCCAAGATCTTTCTATGGAAAGATTTAAGGGTTGTCTGGGCAGCCATTTTCACTTCAGTGAAGACAACAGAAAAACTAGTGTTATGCTCAGTGCAGGCACAAGACCAGACTTATTTCTATGGGAGTAATTAAAAAATGTGGGGACTACCAATTTAGAAACTTACCCTTTCAAAAGATCAGTTACTGTAACCTCACGAGTACAAACCATAAATTACACTGATTTTTTAATGACAGAAGTATGCAAAGCATATAAAGGGATGTGCCTACTCCAGACATCTAGAAAAAACTAATTCTCTCTCTCATTCCCCTGACATAAACATGTAAATGTTTTTCTGTTCTTATGTACAGGATGAAAGGGAAAGAAAGTACTACTAATGTCATGAGCAAGTTTCAAAGCCAGCGTTAAAACCCGGAGCCAGCTTTAGAAGTCAAAAACTTCTAACTTTATAATATTCCCTCTGCAATAACTTTAATACACATATTTCTAAGTAGCAACTTCTCATTTGCCTTCCAGATTAACACTGAGCTACAGATTCTTTGGCAATAAGGTAGTTTATAAGTCTGTCTCTCTCTACACGAGACAAAAGCACCATATTTCTACTTTAGAAGGGTGAGTTTTATTTTGTAAGCTGCATGTCATCTCTTGAGTTAATTATTGTGGGTCATTGTACTAATGTGTGTAGTTGTCTATGTATTTGCTTCTAGAGAATAACTAGAAGAATTTTAATGATGACAGTGAATGTTAATTTCTGCTGACACAAAAGATTCAGTTTGATCAATAGAAATTATTTAACATGTTTGCAGGACAGAGAGTTTTCAGGGGAGTGGGACCTGAGCTATGGGTCTTGTTCTCTTAAAAGGTAAGAATAAGCAATGCCCTCATTGATTTCACAGCCAAACTCAAAACACATCTCCAAATTTAACATTCTTGTGGGGACCTTTCTCATAAACAAACTTGTACGCACCCAGAATGTAATTAAAATAAATTTAAACATTCCATTCTCTCCAACAAAGAGAAAGGAAGATATTATTGTAAGATTTTTGGTTTTTTTAACTGCTTGGTGAAATTCACATTCTACAGCAATAGGCAATGATTCTAGGTTGGTGAGGTAAATGAGCACATATCCTGAGAGCAAATGTTCCCCAAAGAACTCTTGGCTGAATTTACGTGGAGAAAGTGGATGAGAATAGGGAAATGTCCTTCACTATGCAGGGCCAAATCTTGTGCACTAAGCTTGTGATTCAAGAATGAAGGGGAACCCCAGCCCAAGCACTGATTTGACAATTACAGAGAGATGGAAAGAAATGCATAACTATTCCTACCTAATGGGTTAACTGCATCTCTAGAAGGGCATTGACAATTTCTCTACCAAGAGGATTTTGGGAAATTGCTCTTTTGAAATTATCCCCTGTGCAGTGCACCATCCAGTCCATCCACTCCCCTCTGCTAGTCCAAAAGACCAATGGACAGACCATTACTGGTGGATTTTCATTACTTTCATATCATGGGATAGTAACAGTATAACCAAATAATACAAGTTAATATTTGGGTGTATAAATAATTTCTAATAAATTTTATTAAATGAAAAAGGAAGAGAAAAAAGAAAAGGAGAGAAATAGAAATAGAAACAGAAATAGAGGAAAAGGAAAAAGAGAAAAAGGAAAAGGAAAAAGAAAAAGTATAGCTCTGGTTTTGTAAATCATTGAGGACATTCCATGGGACAAAGCAGCAGAAGGGGTGGATACCAGACCAGCAAGAGTGCTTGAAAATGTGCCCCTGGGTCTGTGTGCTCTTGTTTGTGCCAGCACAGTTCTCAGTCACACATGTTATGCTGCCCTTTGAAAGGCTGACCTAGTTTGTCTTTCCAACAGTAGTGACAGAGCAGAGCTACTCAGTTACAGGACTAAGGCCAGAACAGGAGACAGAGACCAGCATGTTCTGCAGAGGCCAGTCTACAGTAGCTCAAGAGCTATGCTGAGTCACAGCAGTGTTTTGAAGGCCTTCAAGGAACACCCACTAATAAAGCTTGATGCCCAGGCTTTCCACTTTGTGTTCATCCTGATTTGAAATGCATTTTCTTTCTCGCCAAATCAAAAATATGTATTAGCTTGCAGTTTTTCTTTCAACTGTTTCATTTTAGCAGAGCTTTTGATGAGTGAGATGGCTGTAATGGGCACAATTCCATGACAATAGTATAGTAACAGGAATGGCATTGGAGCATCCTTTTGCATGAATGTGGCAGGAGTTGCCACACCAGAGTAGATCATCCATCCACCTGATAATGTCTGGCAAGAGTGAGCACTTCACACAACAGAGGTAGGCAGTTCCTCTGCTTTACATCCCCATCCCAGTCTAAAACCCTCTTACCTCTTCCAAGTTTTGGTAGAAAAGTGCCAGAAGAAGGGCAGTCTGCAGCTTCTCTCTCCTGCTCTGGGATAGATCCTTGATCTGACGCTTCCTCTCATGAATGACATTCAGTTTGTGTTGAATCTTTTGCCCTTCTAGTCCATCAGCCTTTTCCAATCTGCTTGCCTGTTCTTGAAGAGACATCATCTGAGGAGGCAACATATCTCAAATTACTTTTATGCTTCCAAGTGGTGTGAAAGAAACAAAATAAACTCCTTTCACAGCTAAAATAGTCTCATTTTTTCTGTAATGAACCAAGAACAACAGGGACAAGTTAACCAGCATTCCCCCTCAACCTGTACTGTGTTACACCTCTGACATTACTGTTGCTGGTACATCCCAGCTACATAAATTAATTAAAATTGTAGCTTCAGGAGTTCCTATGCCACTGATTGTCCAGTGCAAGGAATCATGAAGCAAGCATGACATCCAGGAGTGCTCAGATTTTATTGCTTTCTGGAAACCAGGTGTTGTAATGTAGCTCTCAAAATGAGCAATCAGTCTGGCAGGGAGCTGGCAGGAGTCCTGGGAGTTCATTCTGGGGAAGCCAGGCACAGCCACAGATTTAAGCTTAGCTCTGCCCTGGGTGAGTTACAGCAGTGGCCACCAGCCAGGCAGATTCCTTTACACAGGTAAGCAATTCAGTGTCTATTCCAAAGGTGCAGAGAGGCTACCCATTTGCTACAGCCATTGTATACCAAGTGTATATTGACAACTTTTTTAATGTCAAAATACCTACTGTGTTTTGTAAAACACCTACTCTATTTTACTTGCTTTAAAAGTCACAATTTTTTTAATGAAAAAAAAGCAGAAACTTCTGATATCCATAATACAATATGGCCTGCTTTAAATATTCTTGTAAGTTCCCCTGTTCAGCTTACTGAGTGGTTTTCCTATCTGCTGCATAGACCTGGGCATTGAGTGTTTTAACAGTTGTTCTCCAGTGCTCTGCCTCTTATTTCCCTAACCTTCCCCATTTTATCTTTTGTTCAAGCATATCAGGCATATCAGGCATTTCACACCTGTTACCAATTCAAAGTGTTACCATATTTTAAAAAAAAGTATATTTATCATTTTGGCTCACAGAATTCTAGCTGGTAGAATATTTGTTGTTTATTGTTTTACCTTCTCATCCTGTGATGCCAGAAGCTTCTCAAAAGCCTCATGTTTCCTTATCAGTTGCTCTATTTCATCTACAGACCTTCCGAGGTCACTGCTTTTCAAATAAACCTATAAAAAGAAGTTTATTATTTTTCTCAGTGAATTAATTATCCCATAATCTTGATTCATAAATGGGAGAAGAGGTATTAATTCTGCTGCTGGGAGTACACTTGAGAGGAAAAAAAAGGAGCAGGATGCAACAGAAGACAGAAATTAATTATTAGAAGTCCATGGTCTTGAGCAAGAAAGTGAAGCATTAACAGGTCTACCTAAGGAAAGTGACCTGTCCGTCCTCATCACAACCACTAAGTCACAAGGCAGTGAATTCCAGAGGTCTAAGCCATCCTTATAATCCCAAGCAAGACCACTGTCATGTCTGACAGATGTCCATATGATTTTGTCCTAGAAGAGATCCCATAACAGAGACTTTGCAGCCTGCCTGAGCAACTTAAACCAGTGCTTTAAAGCACTGGTTGAGTACTGAGGTACTTAAACCAGTACCTCAACAATTAGCACGGTTTTCCAGACATCTAGCCTGAAAATGCATGGCTATTGCTACAGCTAGTTACATACTGCCCTCTTCCTCACACTCAGGAGTTCATTCCTTTTACGTTTGCTCCTTGTTTGTAGACCTTTTGTGTAAGAGGATTTCTGTCTTCTCGCGGTTAAAACTACAGTGATCTGATCAATCATTCCACAACATCTCCATCTTTTTGGTTCTGATTATTCTTATTGCTCTCCTCTGGGTTTTCTCCATTTCCACTTGTTTTGAGACTTGTTGTAACAAGTGGCAATAAGCAATAAAGCTGCCCGAGTGAAGATCTGGAAGACAGCAGAGTGCCTTTCAAGCTGCAGTCTTCAGCATGTGCCTATATATAGTGCTTTTCTTTTATACAACACAATGAACTCAAGTTCACCTTTCTATGAGCTTCCAGGAAGTTTTCAGAAGAAGTACTGTCAGATCAGCTTGCCCCCATTCTGTATTGCACCTGAAAAGATTTCATAGCTTGCACCTGTACCACGTGCATTAGATCTGTCATTTTTTCAGGCCATCATTCCAACTTATCTGCACTGATTTTATTTATTCTCTGTTCTGCCAGTCTCTGACGCAGAAAGACTTTAGTCCAAAATAAAAAATGTGGTTTTAAGAAATCTGACCTCTGCACCTTTTAACATTGTGCAAGTGTGCACATTTTCCAACTAATTCACACACGTCTCAAAGGCATTGCAGTGCTCCCTTACTCTGTTCTGGTGTCAAGAAAAATGATTGCCCAATTAATTGTCTCATATATTTTGTTATACTTAGTTTTGCCAAATGCAAAAGAATAAAGAATATAGTTATCTATTAGCAAGTAAAAATTATGCTTTTTTTCAGGTTGACAGGAATTTATTATTTTCCATTGGATGTAACTGCCCACAGGTTTTTTTCTTGTTCAGTGATGAGACAACAGCAGGATAAAATCCCCACTCATAGGCTCTGACAGGACATGAGCAAAGACTATCCATGGATAAGGTTCACACTGAAGTGACTATGGTTGGACAGACTTTGGGAAATCAGACCGCTGTGAGGGATTGCATTTATCAGCATTGTGTAATGTGTAATCCATTTTGTGAGCTCATGGAATCACAAGTCTTTGGACAAGGATGAGAAATTCCAGTCAGTAATTTTGACTGGGTAAAGTGCAAATAACAGATTGTAGAAGATTTGAGATCAATTATATAGTGTGAAAGAATTATGAGGCAAGAAAGACGCAGAACAGAATCAGTGAAACAACACAACTGCTAAACATTTTGGAAATGGACTAGTAAACGACATGGGTAAATCTGTGCCTTTAAGCCATAGATGTGCATGGTAAAAAAAACCAAACATCTAGAGTGATCAAGAGAGATCACCCTTGTTGTGCAAAATGTCACAGTCCTGTAGCAGTCTTACAGAGTGTTTTTTTATAAGAGGGAAAAGATGTTCTTTGACAGCTGCTTTAGAAAACCAACCATGATGTTTATTCTCTGGACAACCACTTAACCCCACAGGGCATCTTCTGCAGAAGAGGCTTCCCAAGCTTGAACACATGTGCAGGGTACTCCACACCTACTTGCCAGGGTCTGACAGCACTAACAGGCCCTGGATGGACTCCTGCTCCCATCTGGGAATCTCTCAGCCCAGCCCTGGCCATCAGTCCCTCCTGAGCTGCATTGAGGTGCCCTGATCCTGCCCTGATTGCCTTGGACAGACCCCGTATTTCAGCCACTACCTTGCTTTGACGTTTGATATTCAGCTGCTCAATTGACTTTTTTACTGCTGCCACCACTCAGCCCTCCTTGGGAGCTGTGGATAAGAGGACTGACAGCCAGACTCAGCCTGATGTTCTGGCCCATTTTTGAGCTGTGAATATTTTGCCTATACAGGAAAATGCACAAACAAATATCATGTCCAGGCCAGACTTTCAAACTGCTCTGTGCTAATCCATTCCCATCACAGTAACTGCAGTCATGAAGAGAGAAAGACCACTGTACAACAGCACGAAGTTTAGAGTAAGTCTGGCCCATAATTCACCAGAATGTCTAAAGAAATACATTAATACCTCTGCTATGTCTCCGTGTGTTACCAGAAGGCGGATACTCTGTCATTCAAACTTTAATCCTTTGATCTATCCTACTTATCAAGTGTATGAAATGATGAGAGAGATCTTTTTTAAAGTGTTACTGGATTTAGTTCGCACTTCTGAAGAAAAATGTGTAGGCTCCAGGTCTATCTACTGTAATGCTTTATTAAACTACTTATAATTACCATCTGTATTTTCACCACTGACATAGAGCCACACGCTGCATCTCTATTTTGGTGTTTTAAACCCTGTTTTAAAAATTCTGTAGCTTCTTGATATATATTGTGAGTTATCTACCATTTCTGATCAAAAATGATTTACCTCTGGGACTTCTATTTAGTAACTGTTAGCAGTGAAACTGATACCTGAGGAAAGGGTCAGCTAGTAGTCTTCCTGCTTGTATGTCTCTGATGGAAGAAAAAGGCAAGGGAAGATGGTTATTTTCCTTAGAGAAAGAGAAGAGAGATATCTGAGAGCAGGGGTGTGAGGTGGTGACTCATAAGCAGCTGCCACCGGAGAGCTCAGTGCCTTGCTCCCACTGAAATCCACTGAGTACAAGTGACAGTGGGCATTGAAAGCTCAATTCTTTTGGATGTTACAGCAGTGGGCAAAAGTCCTCCTGGCTACCGAAAGCTTTGAACTAAGTCGTCCAAGAAGAAGTCTGTGCATGTGCCCTTGGCAACCAAGGTTTTGACACTGAGTAGGGAAACTGGTGCTCAGAAAGAAAATTTCTGCAGAAGGGAAGTGGCTGCATATATTGCAGGGTGGGCAATGGCAATGTGCTCAGAGGAGAGCAGCCCCTGTAGCACCTGCAGTGCTGCTGCCTGGAGAGCTGCTGAGGTAAACATATTCCATTTGTCTTTTACACAGAAATCTTCTGACAGCCATTGCTCTAATCAGAACCACATTTTTTTTCATTTAAGCATTTGTTATACCAATCTGAAAGCAGAATAAAGACGGGCTCCCACACCACAGTGCTGGCTTGTCACCAATTACTTCACTTTCTGGCACACTTTTAGACAGGTCTCCTAACTCCTGCTCTGAATGAGACACATTGATTTCAAATACAAAACACTGCACAGCTCTCCTCAGGTAACCTACCAGGGTCTCCCACAGAGTACAGCAGGTATAAACTTTCTTTCAAGTTTATTTCTATTAGGAATCATGGCCCATCACTGGGAATTTAATATTCAGCCACAGAAAGCGTAAAAGACTTGGCCACTCACTATAGAACAGATTCCTTTTCGAGTGAGGACTTCCAAAGATGCTTAAAACCACAAAATGGTTTTTGAGATTTCTGAGATTTTCTGGAATAAATTTTCAAGTTATTAGCAATGTAAAGCATAGAAACAATTTTTAATCCTACTGAACTGGAGTTTTTCGTTATTTCTGAGTTAATTGCATAGTTGCTGCCAGAAAGAGCTCTTTCATACAAGTGAATTCAGAATTAAAAGCAAAGTCCAATTAAAAAAAAAATTATTTAAAATAAACCAATGCTATTTGCACAGTTATGTGACAGCATCTGCCAGCTCTAGCTTTTGGAGAAATACCAAATGAAACATTTCAGTTACTAACATAACTATGTTGTCTAGATGCCACAACTTCACATTTATATGCACTGGAAAATGACACAGCCCCAAAAGAAATTTGTATTCCAAGAAGAGCATTTTTTATTTCTCTGGAATAAAATGTATTTTAAGTATTTGTACAAATTCACTTCCTTCTTCTTCTTTTGCTCTTCACAGTATAACAAGCTCCACAGATTTTGCCCCTCACTGCCTGCCACGGGCTTGCTGCTGAGATTTCTGGAACACGACAGAAAATCTTTCTGTTCTCACCATGTACTAAAAGCCTGAATTATCAGATTTAAAAACCTCCACTTAAAGCATGTAAGCAAGTCCAAGCTATATGTCGAGATGGAGAAGAATAAGGTTTGATTTGACTTAATTCTGATTAAAGTAAATACTAGAAATAATAATTAAAATAATCATAAATTTCCTTTAGCAAAGTAAGTGTTCTTGATACCATGACTATATAAAGTTCACAGAAATGTTTTACTATGCTTCATTTCAGTAAAAGAGGTAAGAAGGTATCATACTATAACCACACAAGGAATAAAACACACTAAAGTTGTTTATAAAAAGAAAACATACGTTTTTTCTATCATACTGACAACCCTGTATTATTGACATCTGTCCTCACCATCTATATGCAAAATTCTAATGTTGAATGTATTTAAAATTTCCTTCCCTCCCCATACTGCATACTGTCTCCTTGGCACAAGAATATAGTTATCTGATATTGGAAATATATATGGGAAAAACACAGAGATAAAACCGGTGTTTTCCTGATAACTGCTATGTTTGCTTCTTCACACATATTTCCTCCTTCTTCAAAATGCACAGTATTGATCCCTACCCTGTAAGTATTCGGTGTTAGACCCGAATCTACACCCATACAACATCA